CTGGTGCTGTGATACTGCATATTGTCAGTCCTCAGACTTTTACTGGGGAAATGTTTATGTGCATCAGGCTAATTGGATCTACACATATATTCAGCAGCCAAGAAAATGTAGCCCAAGGCACAGCTCTAAGAGTAGATAGTTCTGAGCTGCCTTCCAAATGAACAGAGTAAAACATGGTCTGTACAGTACATCTGGAGTCTCAGAAGTGATTGTGTAACCTAGAACTGCAATACTGAGGATTTAATCTTTATCTGATTAATCTGATTATTGTTTGAATAGTTATTTCTTTTACAGTAGCACAAACAAGTTGTTGGTTTTTCTCCATTCTGCCAAAGCTGGCACACTACTAAGCTTTCTTTGTTAACCTTCAAACCATTTAATTTTAAAAGCTTAAATAATGAAAAATAGGGGAGCTAAGGAAGTGGAAAGATGGAGTACTCATTGCCTATCTAGCAGAAAATGCCTCCCATATTTTTGGGGTGACAACTGAAACAACCCAGCTCAGGAAGCCAGGACAGCATTCCCATGTCCTCAGCACCAGGAGGCTTTCCCATCCTTTAAAGCAAAATATAAAAAATCATAGCTACCATTTCTAAAAAAAGTAACTGAAAAATAAATTTTACATGAACCTGAAATAGGAAATAAAGTTTACAGGAAATGTCATTTGGGAAAGATACCATGTGTATTGCCTAAAGACAAATCAGAGTAGGACAGCAGAAAGGGAGCAATATTGCATATCAGTATAATACCTAACTCCAGAAAATACGGATTTAAGGATGGTAATTGAGCCCTACAGTAGCAGAATCAGACAAGAAGAGCTCACAATTTGGGTATGTTAACTGCTACCAGTCCATGACTTCATATCACCAACCATTTCATTTTTTTTTAATGTATCATTTTTTCACATTAGCAAGTAATAGATGTTGCTTATTTTATTTTGTGCTACTCATAAAATGCCTGTAGGGAGACTGAAGATCTTCAGATACTTCAAACACTTGATGTTAATTTTAGCCCTAGGGAAGATGCATAGCCCTATTTTTGCATTTTCTTAAAGACAGTGTAGGCAGTATAGACACTTAGTTTACACCTTCTGGCAGACTGGGATGCAGACCTACCTGTAACAAATTACACATATAGAGGGAACAGTTAGATGGGAATTTACCTGCTAGTTTTGTACCAGAAAATGGTGTTGAGCAGCTGACTGCGGGTCTTGTTTGGTTACATCCTCCTACTGCTCCTGCGGCAGAAAAGATCCAGACGTGCTGGCAGATCCATGGCTTGCGTACGCCACCCCGTGAGCCCTCGGCAGCAGCACAGCAGTTGTTTGTCATTTGTTACTCATTTAAATAGCATTTAAATGCTTGCATTTACCCCATGTGCCCTCCCGCCGGGGCTGCTGCCTGCAGCACAGCTCTTGAGCCAGCACATTCCTGAGACAGCGGACTCTGAGATGCGGTTGATTGCGAGAACAGCGGCTGCACGTTCTGCTTCGGGTGCGCACAGAAACGCACGTTTGCCACCCAGCTCATCGCAGGGTTTCTATTAGTTAAGCAATTGTCCTTATTTCAAGAGGCTTCCCAATTCCTGCGGGTGGGAAAGGATATAGGATTTTGAAGATTCTGATCTTTCCTTACACTGCCTTCCAGATGCCCACCACTTGGTCCACATTTTAGTAGTAGCCCTGGGCACACGGTAGCAGCAGAAGCCTTACCAGTGTCACAGAGAGCAGACTGATTCCTCTGCATGTTGTGAAGCACAGCTCACTGTGCTGTGAGGTTTCTCTTCCCTTTAGGTGTTAATGATCCTTCCCAGATAAGCTGTACCCCATGTCCCAAACCTTCTTCTGAGACATCCATCCAGGCAGTTTTTACTCTTTTGGTCATGAAGCTGGCCAAACTCACTTATGCAGAGAGACTACCACCAGGTGTATCCCCCCCCCCACCTTCTTCTTTTAAGATTTTTTATTCTCTAACAGAGTTCTGAGTATGCTGGCCCTTCTCTTCCAGTTTGCCTCAAGTTTAACAAGCATAATCTGGTTCTCTAGGATAGCAATTGAAAGCTCTAAACAAACATAACCCATAAAAGGCTTAAAACAGTGCTGTAGTGGGAAGCTAGATTTTTGTGCTCATTTTCACATTTTGGAAAACCCACTGTTTCCTTGAGAAGAGAAATAAAAGGATTACTTTGATGTTCTGGGATTATTTTTAGAAGCTCTATTTGTTACAGAGTCAACACCAGACTTTGAGCATAATAACCCACAAGTAGCAACTTGTGGAAGAAAGGCTGCAAAAAGCACAATGATGTTAAGAACATAAAACTTAAGTAGGGATGCACAGCTAACACTGGTTCCCAGAGATGTCCTTCCACAGTAATTGCAATAGTCAAACTACTAAGAGACATCAGGGTAGCTTACAAGTAATTCTTACACTCATCAACTTAAAGATACTTCCAAGAAGCCGTTATCATAGAGCAGGTATTTTCACTGACAGCACTAGCTGCTTCAGATATAAGGCTTGTTCCTAAGTATATGACAGCAGCTAATAGTTGTTACTGGGTATCCCTGCCCAATTCCAGACCACAATTTTTTTCTCCCTCAAAGACAGTGATGGCTCTCCAGTTGTATTTGTGGCTGACAGTGTCATAGCAAGCTGATAAACACCCCCTCTGCCAGCAAAAGAGGACAACTTTGGAAGGGATCATGATCAAACCATTAGCGTTATCAGCCATTTGTTGTGTCTCTGCATATGCAGAAAGCTGTCACACAGTTCTGCTGGTGAAACAGAGCAGGTGAGCACTCCTCAACCATGTTGTTAAGGCACATAACCTAGCACAAGGCACACAGTTCAGATTGCTTCCAGAAAGCTTGGAGCGACCCATTAGAAATGACACTGGAGCAGACCTGAGAGCAATCCCAGAAACCTTAGTGTTGACTGAGCTTTAGAAGCAGCAGATACCGACACACTGACCCAAAAAAGTAGCAGCAACCTAAAACTCGGCCATGCCTACAGCTTTTGCCTCATTTTCTGTGAGAGATCTTAACATAACACATTGAAAGATTCCTGCTTTCCCCTTTAAGTTTGTAAAATTCATGGTCATCTAGGTGGAAGCTGTCAAGTACAACTGTGGCTTCATTCAGAGCTGTATTACAGGAAAAGCCATCCTTTAAACACACATGTTCCTGTATCCCAGAGAAGCAGACACTCTTCAAAGAAAGGACAGTGAAACCCTGGAGCAGGTTGCACAGAGGCTCTATAATCTCTGTCCTTGGAGATGCTCTCCATGTGACTGCTCAAGGCCCTGGGCTGAGTTGACCAGGACAGCTCTGAAGTGGCAGAAGATTGGACCAATTGACCTTTAGAGATCCCTCCCAACCTGAATTATGCTAAACTGTTTGAAAGCTAATCCACTTAACCTAATGTGTACTTACAAACTAGATCTGCTCCTACCCTACTGGCATGGGGCAGTCCTACTCTCATACTAAAGAAGAGTACAGTTCATAGAGCCGGGAGTCTCTCTAGGAATTTAGCCTATCCTTGAAGTTACAGTGAGTGCTGGAAAAATTCTTCCAAAGAGCATTAAAACCTGACAATTAGTAAGAATTTGAAGCTTTTATAAGCACTGCCTTAAGTATCTTCAGTATTTCTGGCTTAATAGGGTCCAATTGAGCCTCAAATTAGCAGTCAACTGCCACAGTATCTGTACAATTAACAGTCACTGTAAACCTTTTCAGTTGAGAAGTTTTAGCACTGCACTAGCAGAGTTAGTATTAACACTTACTGTTCCCCTCCACCACTTTATTGTTTGCTCTAGAACACCCTCAAATCCTCAAACTTTTTTAATACTAAGGAATTGATTGCCTATGTACTTTAATGACTGGGAACAAGCTGGCTTTAGCCATGAGGCAACACTGGAAGATTACCAAGTCTTAATCATGACTAAAATATATGTTGATTTCATGGGCAGCAAGATAAACACATCATCACTTGCTAATTGTATCTTCATGCTTAGAAATCTACATTCTTTTCAGGAAACATGACATTCCATTAAGCTGTAGCAGAGAAAAGTCTCTAGAAAAAAATTTTGTTAGATGAAGGTGCTGCGTGCAACTGAGACTACTTAAAGCTGCAGAGGACAGTAAAAACTCACCCTGCCTCCCCTGCCTCTCCTTCCTAAGAGCCTGGCAGTATCTTCCATTACAACACTCCAGTCATAGGAGCCATCCCACCATGTCCCTGTGGTGCCAATAGGATCATAGCCCTGCAGGTGTGTGTGTACTTCTCTAACACCTCTTGCTTGCTCTCCATGCTATGTGCATTTTTGGATAGAGGCATTTAAGTTGGTCCCCGATGAATCTGACTTACTGGCTGGAGTGTCTGGAATTCCTTTGTACTACACTTCAGGTGCTCTCCCACTGACCTGTGATCCCTTTCCAGGCTCTGGGCATCCCTTGCTGGCACTGGCATCAAGCTGGTAGGATCCATATGGACTGAGGTTCCCCTTCCCCAGCAACTTGAGTTTAAAGCCCTCTCCACCAGCTTGGCAAGCCTATGACTGAAAATGTTCACACACATGATACAGTCCAAACCAAGACACCACCGTGTAAAACTGCTTTGACTTACTGGCTGGAGTGTCTGGAATTCCTTTGTACTACACTTCAGGTGCTCTCCCACTGACCTGTGATCCCTTTCCAGGCTCTGGGCATCCCTTGCTGGCACTGGCATCAAGCTGGTAGGATCCATATGGACTGAGGTTCCCCTTCCCCAGCAACTTGAGTTTAAAGCCCTCTCCACCAGCTTGGCAAGCCTATGACTGAAAATGTTCACACACATGATACAGTCCAAACCAAGACACCACCGTGTAAAACTGCTTTATTGATTGCAGTTAACATGTTACACTTAAATTATGATCCCAAGCTTTAAGCCAGCTGCTTATAAGCTGCCATCGTAGTCACATGGAATTGGACGAAGAGATGCCAGCCACTGAGGCATCTTGAACTGGAATCATTTCTGCTTCTTAGGCATTGAAGCAACAGTCAGCACATAAAAAACGTAGACTGTTCCTGACAAAAGACACAGAAAAGGTATCTTCAGAGAGGTAAACAGAATTCCTTTCAAGTCAGCTTTCTTTTCCCAGTTTGTTCCAGAAGAAATATTGACAATAAACAGCTGGAATTCAGACACAACACATTTCCATAGCCAAGTCTCAATGGTTTCTACTTTTTTTTGGCAATTTATGTTTTAGGGAAAAAAAAAAATCCTTAAATACTTCTCCATAGACTGCATAAAGAAGCAGGAAAACAAAAAAGGGGGAGAGGCACGTACACAGACAATCATAAAGTAATGGTTACTCATTCTTAAAGTAACTGAACTGAAAGTCCATCAAATCAACATATTTAAGTTAGAAGCTACCATAAAATTATCTAACAAGCAACATGAAGGTTAAATATATGCAGTATCGAGCAGCTTGGATATATTCCACAAGCTTTCACAGCACATGAAGTCTCAGCACATCAAGTATCGCCCAGCACTAAAAGAAGTGAGGCTGCAAGAAACCTGGTGTATGCGTGTGCTGTACTTACATTTTACTCCTTTTCAGAATAAGCTTTGCAAGTAGTTCTAGTTTTCTCTAACATCATACATGAATTTTGATTCAGCCCATAGTACTATCAGTCTGGGGAAAAAAAAGCCATCTGAAAAGCTGAACTTGAGAAAGCACAGATAAATATATAGGATAACCAAATGGTTTGTTTTTTCTCCTCTCTACATGCATTTTGCATATTCTAAAGAACAGACTGAAGGAACTGCATTACTAATTTTCAGAGGGAACACCAGTCATGTTGGAGATTGTACCAAAGAAAAAGTACTTTAATAGCAGCATAAATACTTTAGTATTAGCCTTACCAACAACTGTAAGACCCATGGTGATTCTATACAACACAGTATCCATTACACCACCTTTGAGATGCACTGGGATGCCATTATCCTCCTAATGGAAACAAGCGACAAAAAGAAACTTTTAAAATACAGTTCTTGCAACATCGCATTAATATAATGAGAATTACCCAGAACAGGAATTACTTCCCTCAATTATCTTCCCAACAACCAAAAGACACTGAACCTTATTTAGATTCTGCTTTGTCTTTCAAGCTTTCACTCTGGTATCAGATGATCACTCACCAGGGAAGTATAGTTGACGTGCACATTCATCTCTGAAGCAGTGACTGACAGACACCTAAACACTTCTGTCGCCAGTCGCCAGGATACAACTACCATCCCTAGAAACTTCCCATCTCCAGCTTAGTCAATCCCTGCTACAGGGAGCAACAAGGTTCACCTGTTGTCATTTGTCATACAGCAAATCATTTTTCTCCACCTGAAGTAAAACTCCTAAACATTGGATCTATGTGATCTTTACCCTTGTCAGTAAGTTCACGCTGCTCTGGAATTGAAGCCAGCCTCAGTGCTGGCGACATGCAAGCCAGCCCAGCTCAACCTGCTGTCCAAGAAAGGAATGTGAGGAGGAAGAGACTGGCCTAGAGATCTCCTCCAGCAGAAACAGAACCTCTGACCTCACCCACCATCAACATCCCGCTCCCTCTTGGCTCGCAATGAACATTGTGCTCCTTAGGCAGCATCCCAACATGACTGGCTTTCTCCTTCATTTGGAAGGAAAGCAACAAGACACAAAAACTGTTAAACTGGGGCTTCTAACCCTTTCACATTGCTGAAGCCCACTCTAGCCTACCCTCAAGTACAAAGCTACTATTGCAGGTTATGGCTCACAGCTGGGAGCATGCTTTGGAGTATCCACTCCTTTGGCATTTGAAGAACCACTGGTTCTCACTAGGTGGCCCTATCAATCAAGAAAAGAGTAACTCAGAAATTATTTTTAAAGATTCAGTATTTTTCTAGAAGTGAATCCAATCCCTTACGGCCTTTACTGCTTTCGTAACAGAGAAGTACAGTAATACCACATCCTCATTAAGAATTCTGGGGTTCGTGTTATGACCTATGGATATAGCTGTAAGATTGCAGGATTAGCTGTTCATTGTACTTCAGTCCTCTCATTTGCTGTTTTTCTCTATTTGTTCTTAGGACATACTCCCCCATCTCATCTCATTTCAGAGTACTTGTCTTTATTTTTGTAGAGTACCTACTGCCCGTAAGAAACTTGGGTACAAATCATTTCACAGAGTAAAATAACCTAAAGAACAAGTCAAGTATGGATGTACAAATACTCTTCATCTCTGTAGGAAATAACCGCCGATTTCCAGCACTGAAGTCACACTACTGATTTCAAGAGCTCACCTCTCAGATGTGAAGGACTCTCATGAGTTCTTTTGAAACAAAATGTATGCAGTGATGATCTACTAAAGCAGTGTTATTCTTCTAACAAACATTATTCTACTATCAGTGCTCATTCCATACCTGAAAAAGCTTCTGCTTCTCAGGAACTCTGTTTATAAGCTGCCTGCGCGAAGCAGTGCTTATGGTCCTCTGGGAAATCTGGCGAAGACCCTGAAATAAAAGATAAACAGTTTTTTGAAAAGAGTGACATTTTTCAGCTACATCCAAACTGGGTAGAAACAGTTTCTTTAAAAGTAAGACAGAAGTGGAAGAGAAAGGAAGAAAGTCTCAAACAAGCAAGCAAAACTTCACCCACACCCCCTGGTTCTGAATTCAGTCAGTCTTTCAGCAGACTATGTAAAGGACCTATTACCTAAAAAGGGAAAACTCAGGGAAATTACTTTCAGTAAGATACAGCACATTTATGGATCTGCAGCATAACCTTCATAATTAGTGTCCTCTTTCGGGAATTCTAGACCTGTGCCTCTTAGATCTCAGTTTTAGGAACCATTTACCGTGTCTGACTCTAGCGATGGGGACAATACTATTTAAGCCACACATGTCTGCGCAGACAAGGATCTTCTGTCACAGCTGCAGTTCACCTGCTGGCCACCAGCGCAGGAGCTCACCTTCACAGAGCGAAGAGGGCACTTCCCTCCTTCTTTCCTTTTCCCCGCCCCCCGCTCCCAGGTTTAAAGGTACTTTGCGGTGTCCTCAACCAGGATCTGTTTCCATAGTCAGACCATAGTGAGCTCGTTAGCACAGGTCACGCCACCAAACCCAATGGCTGTAATTATTGCGGCGGCTCGAAGCCTGCTTTCGCTAACAGGTCACGTCTCAAAGGTAATTCTTTTTACTGATCATTTCTACATTTTTTTCTTTATATCAACAAACAGCCGACACTTGTAACACCAATCCTCCCCCCCCAGAACTGCCGGCACCAACAACGCAGCCAGGGCGCAAACATCCGGGTGACGCCGGTTTCCAGTAACGGAACAACGCACCTCCCCCCCTCACCCACCCAAATACAAATTTATCTCCTTAGACACGGACGAAGCGTGCCCCAGGCTCAATTCTCACACCTTCAAGTACGCAAAGCTCAGCACTAGGTATAGCGAGCGGGACAGCATCCGACATGTAAC